AAAAATACTGGACTTCTGGCATTTTTTTGGTCTGCTTCTGGCTTTTGTCCTCATCTGTAAACTGAACTTTAAGGGATAGTTTGAATACGATTATGTGCCAGGTATTTGATTTCAGATGTTGAACTTCCTTTGAGTAGAAAATAATAGCTTTTATTTGGACTATCCCTTCACTTTCTCTTTTGATTTGCTTTATGTTCCGAAATGATCTTTCAACAGTTTTAAGTAAACAATGCTTTCTTTGTTTTGCCTGCATCATGTGGTCTGTGTCATATTCTTACCCGCATCATTCATTTATTTTTTGATGAAACATTTGGTAACAATTATTCAGTGTTTATTATTTTGATTTTAGTAGTTTACAGTGACCTTTTATACATTTTAGATAATTGTTTGATTCAGGAACAGCTGTACCATCATTTGTTAACTTTCAGAGTATTTTTGTGTCGTCGATATAAAAAAAAAATCAATGAAATAATTTATTCATATTCATTTTGGTCATCTAGCGCTCTTTTCCCTACATTTCTGCAATGGTGAGTAATGGCTCATTGCCGTATGATCACGGGAAAGACGGCCGGTCTACTGAACTGGGAGGATGCTCTGTTGAAATCAGAAACAAAGATCATGACACATACCTGGCTGTTAGGTACTCCAAAGGCAGACTCACGGTAAGAGCTCAATCATTTTAAATAGTCATAATCAGGATGGTAAAAAAAAAACAGTAATATTGCCAATCAATCAATTTTATTTGCATATAGCACAATTCTTATCTCCAAGGTGCTTCACAGGTTAAATGCTACAACAGGATACTACTCGCACAATAAAAGTACAATAATAAAGCATTTACAAATGATGTTGAAAACAGCTGTGCTGCTTAGTATTTTTTTTCAGGATTCTTTGATTATTAGAAAGTTGTAAAGAACAGCATTCATTTGAAATAGAAATATTTTGTTATATTTACATTATAAATGTCTTTACTGTCACTTTTGATCAATTGAATGCATCCCCGCTGAATAAAAGTATCAATGTCTTTAAAAAATAAAAACTAACTGACCCCTAACTTTGACCCCTTACTTAGTTTTAAACAGTAAGGCACGTTCACACCAAGGACGATAGCTATAGTGATAACGGATTTTTCCTGCTGATGAATGAAAACAACATTGACAGCCAATTGGAATCCACAATTTCATTCATCAATCAATTCATTTACACGACAAGGGCATTGTTGGGGCCTGAATACGCAAACTTTTGAAAACAGGTTTCAAATCGCAAGTTTTAGAAAATTTATACTGTAATCGTTTCCATGTAAACTTCAAAAAAATGTGTAAAAACGGTGACGTCATGCGCATGTGTATTGCATATTCAGTCTATAGGTGCGCACGTTGTGTTTCTTTACCAAGTGACATTGTCAAATACTGGCCTGGATTTAGAATACTACAGTGTTTTTAGTCATTTTCATGGATCCGTGAACGAGGATCGCTTAATCAGATTTTATTTGTATTTTTTTTATTTTATTTTTAGTACATTGTTGACACGCAAACATGCCCTAAAACCGCAGATGATATAACTGCAGTGCCTGCTTATAATTATTGCCACTATAACAGTGATCTTTCTAGTTATTGCTCTTGGTGTGATGGGTCTGTAGTGTATATTGTTTTATACTGACATTTTAATATTGGCACTGAAAAAGTCATGACCATTTTTTCCTTTCCTTGAACCTGAAGAATTAATTTAGATTTGCATGCTCTAAAGAAACACGTGAAATGATTAACCGCTCAATGGAGAAGATGTTTTTAGTTCCTTATGATAAGTCCTTTATTATATTAAATATATATAGAGGTTTTTCACAGCTACTGTATATTATGTTTTTACAGATTATGGTAGATGTGGATGACCGGAACGATTGGAAAGAATGTATTGATATTGGGGGCGTCCGCCTCCCGACAGGATACTATTTTGGCTCTTCTGCGGCCACAGGAGATCTCTCCGGTAAGTGTTAGTTATAAATCTCCACCGTTTTACTGATGCCTTTTTTCCAGACCTCACTGGCACGGTTTCTTCTGTGCAGATAACCATGACATCATCTCTATGAAGATGTACCAGCTGATGGTAGAACATACTCCTGAGGAGGACAACCAGGACTGGACTAAGATCGAGCCTAGTGTCAGTCTCCTCAAGTCGCCAAAAGGTAACACTGCTGATGTGTTGGTGCAGACATATTCAAATTGTTGGGAGAAGGATTTTTCATTCAACTGCATGTTTACATGTTTTCTCCCACAAAACAGATAATATTGATGATCCTACGGGAAATTTTCGGAGCTCACCCCTCACTGGCTGGAAGGTCTTCCTACTACTTCTGTGTGCCCTGCTGGGAATTGTGGTTTGTGCAGTTGTTGGTGCTGTGGTCTTTCAGAAGCGTCAGGAGAGGAACAAGAGGTTCTACTAAACATCTGGATTTTAAAGAACTCTGGAGATTGTTGGTGAAAAACATTAATGTGAATTTCGAACAGCTGTACAAATGTTGATATTGTTGAAGTGCTTGATTGGAAGGAGTAGGATTGGTGGCTTCAAAGAAACCTTTCTTTATGTTTCTCTGTCTATGTTTGGGTCTGCTTACATATAGTAGATTACACATTTTCAATGTGTTCAACAGTAGTACATCTTTATTGGTGTGTATGCACTACGTCTCTAAATTGTTGGTGGTTTTATTTTTTTATTATTGTTTTTAACCCTTAAGCTGTTTCATCTACAAATTGTTTTGTTCTGATCTGATCTAGAGTGCTAATAATGCTGTTTACAACCTGTATGATTTACTTAAGAGGGTTTTAATGGATGGCCAAAGAAATCAAACTAATGAAAATGTTCTCTTAAATGTATCAAATCAATGTAAATATTTTAGCTTATTTTCTAAAGTTACTACTCTGGTCCCTCCCCTCTGCAGTATATTTTTTCAGCCTTGTTTTTTTTTTTTAACCAATATTGAAACAAATAAAAGAAGAAAAACATTTTTTTTTTTCTCCAGGGTAACAAGAATTCATCCTTGTGTGAGTTTTTTTTTTTTTTTTTTTTTTTTTTTTTCCTAACCTCCTTTTTGCATTTTTTTTGCGCAATGAGAGAAGTGATTGCAATGCACTGATTTACAACAGTTTCTGAAAGAAGTTCCCAAAAGTTTTCTGTTGGAGAGCAAATGGGCAGTGACTGTAAAATGATGCTTTTGGTGAGAAAATAAAGCAGTTATAACAGTTGTCTTGCTAAACAGGTTTCCCTTTTCTTTTTGTATTACTTTAGCCATGTGTTGTATTATATATTCATCATAAACCACTCAAAACTCAAAGGATCAATCAAAAGACTGAAATAATTATTTGTCCTGACAAATTAGTTTCATAAAAATGACTATGTGAATGAATAAAAAAAAACAACTCTGGATCGGTTCAAATTCATATTGTTTTGTCGTTGTGTCAGTTGAATCAAAGTTTTAAGTGTTGTGTTTTAAGTATTTAATTCAGTGAATCTTATAGTAGTTTAACTTCCTTCTTGTGACGTCAAAAATATTGGAGGAATCTAGTGATGCACACAAAAACACTTGAGCTGTGAAAATTAGATGTCATCTAAGATCTTAAGACAGTCTCCCTGTCTCTCTTTGTTAAAATAGGCTACAAATGGATAATGTTTCATATGTTTTTAAAGAAAACAAAAATAACATGTTCATTTTGGTATAATATGTTGTTTTATAGCGTTCGTTTTATTATAGACGAAAAGACGCGATCAAGAACGCCGCTGTTCCTTTGCAGAAGAACCAGAACCAGAAGAGCCACAAAAATATGATAATTTAACCTAAAAACTTTTCCCCTCCACGCCACCTGCTGGCAATTGAACTTAACCAATTCCATTGAAAGATTCAAAAGATTCGGTTCACTGAGTTGAATGAAAGGTCCCACCACTAAACTACAACTACTCATTTTACTGTCTGAGGGCAGTATAGCCCTATTTATGGTTTTGAGTTTAAACTATCAGTTAAACCGTGACATCTACACGTTTTCCAAAGTGGACCAACGTGATTATTTCACGTCTTGTCCTGATACACATGGGTTGGGCACTGAAGTTACAGGAGTTTCTTCACGTTGCTAAGCAACGGAACTAGGTCGAGTATTTAACAAGGTTATGGTTAACATTGATTGTGGTAGCGTACCTTTTGCTTAAACGAGGAGTTGGGGGATGCCGGAAAAAAATAGACATTTTACTCATTAGGCTGCTTCATTAAAAACGTGACATTTAGACGTTTTCTTCGGCGTGGATCAAGGCACATGAATCATTTTCACCTTATAATAAATGTTTTTTTTTTTTTTTTGCATTCTAAATAATAGAACATTTCTCAGTGATCGTAAATAAAACAAAATTCCATTTTTCTCGGTTTAATGAAAACCAATAGGTCGTTATGGCAGAGGCGATTGCGTGGAGAAACATCCGGGTATCTCTCCACTGGAGCGTGTTACCGTATGGTGTTAACGCAAACGTCTAAGTTTCACGTTTGAGGGGTTAACCGTGACATCTACACGTTTTCCAAAGTGGAACAACGTGATTATTTCTTATTTCATGTTGGAGAAATGTTGTTTTGGCCACTAAAAATGGCCACTTTGTTTGATATAATCACAACAATTTAACGTAAGCAAGAATGGGATATGAACTCAGGTTTTCTTGATTTAAGCCCAGCACTTTATCAACTGAGCCACTGAGTCTGTTGAGTTCAAGGGTGTACCGAGTATTGGATGGGTTTTATTGCGGCTTAGGTTTTATGTGTTGGAAAAATAAATATAGAAATATAATTTGACACAAGATGCTAAGATTGCAACGCGCCAAAAAACGAAAGAAGAAGAAGAAGAAGAAGAAGAAGAAGAAGAAGAAGAAGAAGAAGAAGAAGAAGAAGAAGAAGAAGAAGAAGACACAAGATGCTAAACTACAATGACCATGATCATTCCTGGATTGCACTTTCCGTTTGTGATTGGACGATGGCCGACGATGGGTTACGTGGCATTGGAGTCTCTGCGCAGGCGCAGTGCACTTTTCACCGGTAGTGTCAAGATGGTGGCAATCAGAATGCAGTTTACACTTTATTTGGTGGTGTTGTTAAATATTTACAACAGTTTTGTGTCTGCGTTGTACTTTCATATCGGCGAGACTGAAAAGAAATGCTTCATAGAAGAAATACCAGACGAAACCATGATAATAGGTAAGTAAGATAAGCGGAATAAGCCAAGTTTGCAGTGCACGTTAATGCTTAGCCTAGTGCTAACTAGCAGTTTTGTCAGGTGGACTTCATTCGTTTGGCAACCAATTTGACCTTAATAAACAAAAAATAAGTTAATTAGATCATTTTTACTTGTTAAATTATAAGTAGATATCTACCGGCTTAACTTAACGTACTGGTTTGGTAAGTAACATGAGCTTATACGCTTTTTTTTAAAAACATTAGTGATCAGTATAGTGATCCATCCTGCTGCCACTTTGACTCAAGTTAGGCGAAGATGCAAATAATGAGATAAGAATCTTTTTTTTTGAAATGTCATGAATGCCCAAGTGACATTCTATATTGCAATATCAAGTGAATATGATGTAACAACATCTGACTCTAAGATAACAACGTTTATGACTGCTCTCTTTCCTTACAAGTGTGTAATTCTGTTTTAAACAGGTAACTACCGAACACAGCTCTATGACAAGCAGAAAGAAGAGTATTTGCCTGCAACTCAAGGACTTGGGATGTTTGTGGAAGTGAAAGATCCCGATGAGAAGGTCTGTTAAAGATTTGTAAATAATAAAAGCCCAGTTTGTTTGTTTGTCATCACGCTCAGTCATTTGCTTTTCTTTTCTGGTTTTCAGGTGATCCTGTCCCGCCAGTATGGATCTGAGGGCAGGTTTATTTTCACCTCCCACACACCTGGAGAGCATCAAATCTGCTTGCACTCAAATTCTTCCAAATTTGCTCTGTTTGCTGGTGGGATGCTTGTGAGTTATTTTTGTGCATCACGTCTTCTGGTTTCCTTAAAGTCGCCATGAAATTAAAATTGATAGACAATTCATATATTTTTAAAAAGGAGTATTGCAGTTACGGTATTTATTATAAATCAGTTATCTGTGCCCATCATTTTTTTTTAAATAATGTGCCCTCATAATCTTTTATCAAAACAACTTCCCCCTCCCTATTGCAACCTCATCTCATCTCTCCTCTGATGACGGCGCTGCTGTCATTCACATGAGATCACAGCAACAGCAAACCACACCCATCCACACAAAATCAAGTCCTGTCCTACAATTTTCTTGTTTGGGAAGCCGTTTCATTCAGATGTCACATTGTGGAAGAAAAGTCTATTGTGACCTGTAACTGTTACATGCCAAATTTAAAGTATTTTGCTATTTTGTATTACATTTTAAGTTTCTTCCAGATAAATTGACAAAACATTATTGCAAGTAAGGATGTGTTAATCTATTACAAAAAACAGATATTTTGTGAAATCATAATTTGTGTGTATATATATATATATATATATAAAAATAGATATTTATATATGTTTCTTAAAGTGTAGAGCATTATCTGTTATTTATCTAGCTATTTTTGCCTACTTTTCCTTTTGAATTTTCAATACAGCGTGTTCACTTGGACATCCAAGTTGGTGAGCATACAAACAACTATGCAGAAATTGCTGCCAAAGACAAGCTCACGGAGCTGCAGCTGAGAGTTCGACAGCTGATGGAGCAGGTGGATCAGATCCAGAAAGAGCAGAACTATCAGAGGGTAAGTGTCCTGCAGGTTTGGCAACTGAGATCTGGCTGATTCAGATCAACCGCAACCACATTATTCAAGGCGTTCTTCCACCGATGCAGATAGAACATGTTAGTGAAACATGCATAAGCACCACTTTTGCCATTGCACACAAGAAGGATCCTTATTTAAATCTTTTTTTTTTTTTACTTTCAGTATCGTGAGGAACGCTTCAGACAAACCAGCGAGAGCACCAATCAGAGGGTTCTGTGGTGGTCTATCGTCCAGACGCTGATCCTGGTGGCCATTGGTTTTTGGCAAATGAGACATCTCAAGAGCTTCTTTGAGGCCAAGAAATTAGTATAGAACTGTATTTGGATTTTTTAAAAAAAAATTCTTGATAGAGTACACAAAATGTTGAAGATCGCCTGCTTCACATGTGGTCAAGACTGCTGAAAACTCGACATGCTCTCAGATCAGTTCCCGCCCTAAATTCCCCTGGTTTATACTGCATTGATTCTTTTTCCATTGCTAGTTTCAGTGTCACAGCCCAAGTAATGTGAATCTAGTTTCTGTTCAGAAATGCATTACAGTTTGTTCTGAACTGTTTTGAGGTGATAGGCTCTCAAATACTGGATTCAAAACACAAATTGCATAGTGGTTGCCTTGGAATTTTTTTATCGCCCCTTAAGTTGTTAACAGTAGTATTTGTTTCAGAAAGCCGATGAAGACATTTTCTGGGCTGTGAGTGTGATGTTTTCCTAAATGTCCTTGGATTATTTGCGTAAACATTTACAAGACAAAAATAACTATGTTTATCCTGGTGGCAGGTGTAAATTTTTGTTGTTGTTTGGTTATGCAGTAATTAGTATGATATTTAAAGGTTTGTTCAGAGTGAATGTTTCTTAGCGTTTTCTTTTTGTTCTTTATATAATTGGTTTGTTTTCTTTATTTTACCCCCATTTTATTTGTGTAAATCATCATTGTGATCTGGATCAGTTAGTATTAGGCATTCTTCCCTTTTGATAGCTACATTTTGACAATGATTTTGCATAAAAGTGTACATGTGTTTAAAGTGTATATATCTAAATAAATGGCAAACTGTAGTTATCAAAAGGTAAAATGTTTAATTGTGAGTACTTGGCACATTGAAAGAAATTATATAAAAAAGTTATTTTTTATTTTATCATGAATACCTAAATCCCCACTATCCATTGTCTGTTATTCTGACTGAAGTTTTGACAGATTTTAATCAAATGAGATTTTCTCACATCCCTGTGAAATCCGTAATGCCATCTTGCACTTGCGTTGTCATTTTTCTATTTCACATCTTTATTTTCCTGTTGTCACTTGCTCAGGTTGATGTAGAGATTTCAGATTATTTGCCCCTCAAAGTGATCTGGCCAGAATATGCATCTAAAAAGGATATCTGTTTGCTTTTTTTGTAGTTGTATTTTCTTTATAAAAAAAAAATATTTTGCATTTTGAGTGTTTTGTTACACCGAATATTGCTCACTCAAGATCTTTGCCCTCTCATTGTATTGTATTACATATATTTTTTGGTCATTTTAGTTTATAAGCAGCCACAGGGAATTGGGGTTTGCCTTTTAAGTGGGGATGGGGAGGGAAAAGTTTTGCTGGTGAGAAATCAACCCATAATTGCACTCAGAAATAAAGTTTCCTGCTCCCCCAACATTGGCTCAGTTTTAATGTCCACGTCACAGCTGTTTGGGTTAGATGAAATTAATTTACTAGTGTTTGGAGTGTTTTACTATTACTACACACCTTGGTCAGATTTGCTAATAATAACACTGTGTTAACAGACATTCCATAAAGTACATTCCAAACATTTACACGTAGGCCTCCTATTCGGTAAAAATAAAAAGTAGTTTGTTGGTTTAATAGGGTGTGTAATAATACTTTGGGGATGATGGTGGCCACGGCACGCGGCAGCGTAAAATAACTACTGATATTTTCAACCGGTTAACACGAATTGTTCAAAAGAACCGATTCTCGGAAAAGATTCGAACTTCACATCACAGTTGCTTTTGGGTATAGTCATATGTACATTTATTATTACATGGCATATTGCACTCAGATTTCCACTGTCTATTGGTGACCTTCGGTATGTGCATACAACTGTAAAAAAATCGCAATATGTACCATATCTCTAAATTAATATACCTGTGGTCAGAAAATCCTAGGAACTTTATTCCGTACACTGTTTCCAGAGGAATATTTTAAAGACGGACGATTCCAGCCAGCGTGTAATTTTTTTCTTTTGTCACCGTTCTCAGTTAAGTTTTTGAACGTTTAGCGTCAATGATGCGGCGTATTAAGTAAGGTCAAATTATATAACGTTAACGTTAGTATGTTAGGTGGCTTGTAACACGTGTCGTCCTAAAACCATCACGCTCGTGCGCGTTTTATTTGTCGTACCGTTAGGAGTAACGTGTAACTGAACTCACGAAATGCTCTAAATCAGACATAACGAGGATGAATTAGGTTTATAGATTGAGATAGAGTGATTGCCCTTGCGCCTACTATGCAAGAGAACCTTAAACAGACAACTAGGAAGAATGCGGTTTAAAGTTTTAGATCATTCATGATGGAAAGAGATATTATGCACTATTGCAAACGAGAAATTAGATTTTAACATGTAGACGTCATAAGGCTGTATCAGTGTATCATATTGCGATCTGCTTGTCTACTTCATGCGTGGTACAGTGTTGCACTGACTGACACAAAGATGATGTATTCTTCACGAAGAAAACCTGTGCTGTATTTCAAAGATGATAGAAGGTAAATGCTTTAATCATAACATGCATATCAACATGTGTGTCTCTCTCTCTCTCTCTCTCTCTCTCTCTCTCTCTCTCTCTCTCTCTCTCTCTCTCTCTCTCTCTCTCTCTCTCTAATTATTTGGAAATGCTGGTCTGTGGGTGTATAAAACCCTCTGTGTGTATGAAAAGAAATGTAATCTTCGTTTGCTAGAAGCTGTTTCATGTGTTTCAAAATTTCAAGAAGTGAAAGTCAAAGGATGCAGCGCCATGAAGAGGTTCAGTGAGTATAAGTGTGAAGTTATTTGTGAAGAGCTTTAACCCTGTAAGCCTGAGATTTTAAATCATAATTTGCAAAATGTTTATTGAACCTGAAGTCAATATATATATAATTTTTTCTAATATATTTTGACTTCAGGTTCAATAAACATTTTTCTAATTATGATTTATGATTGCACATGTTTTATGTAGAGTATAATATTTGATGCACAAAGCTTTATGGCTCGAAATGTAGCTCAGACTCAAGGAGGAAAATACAACACAAAGCCTACATTCTGTTCAGATGCCCAAGCTGAGCAAAAATATACAATTTGAAGCATTTGCTTCAGAAATTGAGATGGCTTGTAATGATAGATAGCAATGCGATCTTTATAACAGACTACTCAGATAAAATGAATATAAATATCAGTAGTCACTTTATATCTCAGAGTAATATGTTTTTGTAAGATTGTTTAAATTCTTAGTTTTATTGCTAAAGTTCTTTTGCTAATTATTTCTTAGAAAAAAAAAATGTTGGTGAATAATCAAGTAAACATAAGTTGCTTCAGTTCAGTAAGTGTTCATCTTGCAATATTAATAATTATATAAAAGCCATTCTTATGTTTACTTCATAAAAATCAATACAAATTCCCCCAGCCATAAGACGTGTACCACAACCTGAAGGGGAATGTTTTTACAATTATACTAAAAAGCCATTTACTTGCTAAAAAGGTATAAAACTATTAATCAGACGACATAGCCCTCATGTTGTTCTAACCCTGTAAGAATTTTGTTCATCTTTGGAACACAAATTAAGCTATTTTAATGAGATCTGACAATCCTTTATAAGCTGCTTGGTAATTGCAAGAAAAGTTAGTAAAAACATATTTTTTTTTTTTTGGCTCAACCTTAAGTTTATCAAGCAACGATAATAGATTGTGTGCAAACCCCCAAAATAACAACATTATTAAACTATTCTAACCCTTTAAAATTTCATGTATCAAACATACAGTAGACTTAATGGGTTTAAGTCTGGTTGAGTAAGACAAGTTGTTTAGAGATGCATGATGTTTATTTTCTAGAAAAACTAACCAGAAGTATTGATGACCTTGATGAGTATTGATGGTCTTGCACTCAATGAAATGCTCTCAAGAATGAGAATGTACCTCCTGCTAATACTGCCTGTATTCGCCTGAATTCTAACCTGCACTTTGATTTGTCGCAACACTTCCTGGTTTAAAGGGAAATCCGTCAGGCGCTGTCATTAAGCAATGTCATGGGTTAGTTATAGTGCTTTTAGTGTGTCTGGAACACAGCCACATAACCACAAGATGCTAACCGTTGACTTTATGGTTTACAGGGAGAGACTGTTATGTTATTATCCTTTTATTGAATGCTGATATGTGATATATCAGGTTCAGCTCAATTATTTGTATTTTTCAGTTTTCTGTCGAGGAAATGCACCGTCTGGAAGCTCTTCGGGTTCTGCATGGTGTTTGTTTTGGGGTCCCTTCTTTGGGTGCAGCTGACTTGTTCTGGAGACATGAACCAGACTGTTGGATACAGCCACCTCCCTCATCAGCCCTGTCCCATAGAGAGACAGTCATCTTCTGCTGATGACCCCTCCTGGGGCCCTCACAAAATGGCCCTCATCGTGCCATTCAGAGAGCGCTTTGAAGAGCTGCTAATATTCGTCCCTTACATGCATGCTTTCCTCAACAAAAAGAAAATACGGCATAACATATTTATTATAAACCAAGTGGATCGCTTTCGGTGAGTAATTTTACTATGCGTCTTAACTTTTTGTGTTTGCTATTGATTCTTGATAAGTGCCCCTATTATGCTCTTTCGGATATTACCTTTCATGTTATGTTTATTTAGCTGTTTGTGAATGTAAAATGCCTGCAATGTTTCTGTTTATTTTTCTGTATACTTTTTTACTTTTACTAATTTTCTTAGATTCATGTAAACCTATTGTAGAAGACTCCGTTAAAGGGATAATTCACCCAAAAATGAAAAATTACCACATGATTTACCCTCAAGCCTTCCTAGGTGTACATGACTTTCAGACGAATACAATCAGAGTTATATATAAAAAGTAGGGATGGGCAACGAATAATCGCATCCAAAATAAAAGTTTGTGTTTACATAATATATGTGTGTGTAGTGTGTATAATTAATTTGTATATATAAATACCCACACATGCATCTATATATTTAAGAAAAATGTGTTATTAATATATAAAATATTTATATATAATATTAATTGTGAATAAATATATATAAAATATATACATGCACATATTTCATTGCTGGAATAAATATATTATTTTTTGCTGAAGGCACTATCCATTACACAAGTGTTATGGAGTAAAACAATTTGGATTTTGACTCTCTTTTTTTTTTGTCAGGTTCAATCGTGCCTCTCTTATTAATGTTGGCTATATGGAAAGTGGTAATGACACGGACTACATTGCAATGCATGATGTGGACTTGTTGCCCCAAAATGAGGATCTGGATTATGGATTCCCAGAGGAGGGGCCCTTCCATGTGGCCTCACCAGAGCTCCATCCGTTATATCATTATAAGACGTATGTGGGAGGGATCCTGCTGCTTACCAAGAAACATTATCAAATGGTTAGAAACCTGAATAAGTTTGTACACTTAGTACTGGTTCCAGCACTACAGAATTTCATTGCAAATGACAATTTCTTATGATTTTTTTTCCCTATAGTGCAATGGGATGTCAAATCGCTTTTGGGGATGGGGAAGAGAAGATGATGAGTTTTTCAGAAGACTAAAAACGGCTAAACTCGAGGTACAAAGAACTGAACACTTTAACACTATTTATTCTTGCGCACCTGCTTATTAGGAGTTGATGCGTTTCATTTTATTTCATCATTAAGTTTTATTTTATTAAGTTATTTAATCGTGACAATTCAAATCTCTGCAGCTTTTTAGGCCAACGGGTATTACTACAGGAACTAAAACATTTAGACACATCCATGATCCAGCCTGGAGGAAGAGAGACCAGAAGCGGATCGCTGCACAAAAGCAGGTAGAATTAATTCTTTTTAAAAATACCTCAGATCCCAATGCTCAGTACCTGCTCTGAAGTAGTCTCGTAAGTCTATCAAAAATACTGTAAAAACAGTAATGCTATGAAATATGATTACAATTTAAAATAACAGTTTTCTGTTTGAATGCATTTTAAAGTAATTTATGCATGTTATGGCAAAGCTGAATTTTCAGCATCATTACTCCAGTCTTCAGTGTCACATGATCCTTCAGAGTAGTTAATTTTTAAACAACTTTTGCTGATAATTTACTCACCCCCATGTCATCCAAGATGTCCATGTCTTTCTTTCTTCAGTCGAAAAGAAATTAAGGTTTTTGATGAAAACATTCCAGGATTGTTCTCCATATAATGGACTTCATTGGGAACCAAACGGTTCAAGGTCCAAATGAGAGTTTCAGTGCTGCTTCAAAGGGCTTTAAATGACACCAGACGATGAATAAGGGTCTTATCTAGCGAAACGAAAAAAAAAGTAGTCCCTTACAAAAAGTCCCTTACAAGCTCGTTTAAAAAAAAAAAGTAAACAAGTTTAAGTTAAGTTGACTCTCCTGTTCGAACTTGTTCATCAAAATGAATGAATCTTTTTTCGAGTCATTTCGTTCGTTGAATGAACCAGATGACCCGAAAAAAGATTAGTTCCTCCTTTAATATGCTGATTTGATGATAAGAAAAAAACATTTTCTTATTATCAAAGTTGAAAATAAAAATTTGTCAGGACTCTTTGAATAGAAAGTTCAAAAGAACAGCATTTATTTGAAATATAAATCTTTTGTAACATTATAAATGTCTTGACTGTCACTTTATAAATGTATTGCATTCTCGCAAAACAAGTTCTTGTTGTAAGGTTTTGAGTGGTTGCATCCCCTAAATGGATAGCAAGGGGTTAACACTATGGTATGATTATGTTTTAATCAAATCTTAAATTTATTTAACTCACATTGCCAATATTTAAATTGGCATAAAGATGTGTATCAATTAATAAGCTGTATTCATAACATATCTTGCATAACCATGTAAGACATTTGAACATATTTGGCTGAATTTATATTTATAATGAACTTAAACATTTTAATCAAATACAAATATAATTGAATCTATAAATGTATTAGAACAAATATAATATTGTTTTGAGAATTTTTGGTCATTACATAATTCCCATGACTCAGTTTGTGTTATTTTTTTTAGTTTAGTATTATTGAAAGGTGTGGAAAGGTACTACTAATAAAGACTAGGTATGTCGACACAGCTTAACTGAAATGTACAAACATATACACTTCCAGTCTTTCTAAAATGAAGCAAAGTTTGTCAGATGTTCTCTGATCAGTAGTTGTTTATGTCGTGACATCATTGTCATGCCTCTTGTCCCAATGATTTCGGTCTGCTTTCGACAGGAGCAGTTTAAGGTGGACCCCGAGGGTGGCCTCACCAACCTCCGCTACAAGGTGGAGTCCAGAAAGGAAGTGACCATCAGTGGAGCTCCATGCACCGTCATCAGCGTCGTCCTAGAGTGTGACCTCAGCCAGACCCCATGGTGCCAGTCCAGCTAAAGTGCTTGAGCAGGACCTGTAAATCCAGAGTGATGCGCATTCTGGTGGCAGGAAAGCTTTCACAGATTATTAGTGCCAGTCACTATGTGATCGCCGAACCAAAAGGACTTGAATATGTAACGGTGGGGAAAGAACTTTTCTCTGAGGATTTATTTTTATTGAACAGTGTTGTTGACTTCATCCATGATGAAGTGCTGCCTCGTTTTTTAATTGATCTTTGGACCAATGTCAGGTACTACACTGAGTTTGCATCATCAACTTTGCAAATACGAGCATCCAAATGTCCGTTTTTTTTTTTTTAACGAGTTTATAATATTTTAGTTGTAGCGGTGGACTGTTTTGGACTGTTTCTCTTAGTGCAATTGTGAGTATTTGCTCAGCCCTGTCTTGACAAAATTGTTACTTTTTTGCTTGAATTCAAAATCATGTCTTGAGAAGGACAATATTATATATACATGAAATGGGTTTAAGGGTACTTTGATTGTATTTGCACAATATTCAGTATTTATATATAAAAACAAATGTTTCCTAATTTCGAGTCTTTTTACCTTTGCCCCATGTTTCAGGACGCATGGGATGCTGTTACAACGTACACTCACAGGATTATGTAGAGACGTAATGACCTGGAGGCATGAAGCTATATTCCCCCCCGAAAAAAACAGCTTTTGGTGCAAATGTTAATACAATTCAGACACCACATACTTGTTTTCATTAGCGATGCCTGAACATAAACTGTGACCTGAGTACTCTGTCCAGACTAAAATGCATTATTGTGCCTGTGGCAACAAACTGCTACACAACTGACAGAACATGTGTGCCAAAAAAATAAAGAAAATATGACTCAACAATTACTTTGTCTTTTTTTTTTTTTTTTTTAAACAGGGTACTACACAATCACCAACAGGGTAATTTGAGTGTGGAAAGAGAAATTGTCATTCCTGCCCCTGTTTATTTGTATATTTTTTAACACTATTAAACAGCTTTCTATCCTTTTTATTTGGAGATGTTTCAAGAAAAAATATAATTGATTTCAGGTTTGTGTACAAGCCGTTTGTGCATTGTGCCTAGCTCCACAACATTATACAGTTAATGAAGTTTGCTGTGCTGTGTTTTCATGAACTTTTGCTTAATTTTATCTTCAGCAAATGAGTGGGCCATTTTAATGGGTTAAGATGGGGTTTGTTGACTTAAAGTGTCAATGGTTTGGACAGACTTAATAGAATTTGTCTCATGTTCCCTTACAAGCCTTCAGAATGTTGAAATATTTAAAGTAGGCCTACTAGTTAAATATGTTTTTTTAACAGAGAGAAAAATATGCGAGGAGAAGAGCTGGATTTTTTTTACGTGCTATTTACGCCAAAATACACTCACCGGCCACTTTATTAGGTACACCTGTCCAACTGCTCGTTAACACTTAATTTCTAAGCAGCCAATCACATGGCGGCAACTCAGTGCATTTAGGCATGTAGACATGGTCAAGACAATCTCCTGCAGTTCAAATCGAGCATCAGTATGGGGAAGAAAGGTGATTTGAGTGACTTTGAACGTGGCATGATTGTTGGTGCCAGAAGGGCTGGTCTGAGTATTTCAGAAAAATCACGCACAACCATCTCTAGGGTTTACAGAGAATGGTCCGAAAAAGAAAAAACATCCAGTGAGCGGCAGTTCTGTGGGCGGAAATGCCTTGTTGATGCCAGAGGTCAGAGGAGAATGGCCAGACTGGTTCGAGCTGATAGAAGGGCAACAGTGACTCAAATAACCACCCGTTACAACCAAGGTGGGCAGAAGAGCATCTCTGAACGCACAGTACGTCGAACTTTGAGGCAGATGGGCTACAGCAGCAGAAGACCACACCGGGTGCCACTCCTTTCAGCTAAGAACAGGAAACTGAGGCTACAATTTGCACAAGCTCATCGAAATTGGACAATAGAAGATTGGAAAAACGTTGCCTGGTCTGATGAGTCTCGATTTCTGCTGCGACATTCGGATGGTAGGGTCAGAATTTGGCGTCTACAACATGAAAGCATGGATCCATCCTGCCTTGTATCAACGGTTCAGGCTGGTGGTGTCATGGTGTGGGGAATATTTTCTTGGCACTCTTTGGGCCCCTTGGTACCAATTGAGCATCGTTGCAACGCCACAGCCTACCTGAGTATTGTTGCTGACCATGTCCATCCCTTTATGACCACAATGTACCCAACTTCTGATGGCTACTTTCAGCAGGATAATGCGCCATGTCATAAAGCTGGAATCATCTCAGACTGGTTTCTTGAACATGACAATGAGTTCGCTGTACTCAAATGGCCTCCACAGTCATCAGATCTCAATCCAATAGAGCGTCTTTGGGATGTGGTGGAACGGGAGATTCGCATCATGGATGTGCAGCCGACAAATCTGCGGCAACTGTGTGATGCCATCATGTCAATATGGACCAAACTCCCTGAGGAATGCTTCCAGCACCTTGTTGAATCTATGCCACGAAGAATTGAGGCAGTTCAGAAGGCAAAAGAGGTACTAGCATGGGGTACCTAATAAAGTGGCCGGTGAGTGTAGTTTTTGCGTGCATGATACGCACTTTATGGCGTTTAATACGCACGATACAGTGCATTTCATATGCAAGCAAAACTATTTTTGACGTATTAATGGCTTGAGGAAAAAAAAATTGTGCTATAGATCCTCACTTACGAGATCGTGTTGTATGTTCCCAATCCTGAGATCTCGCTGCGCGTTCGTCCATCTGAACAAGAAACATGCGCGATGTTTCAGTCAAGTGCAAAAACATAGCTACTCGGATATGGGTAACAAATCAGAATTGGACATCAAGACCTGTTGTGTAAACGAGGTCTATGATGAACCTTTTGTTTTGATTTTGAACAGTTATTTTCAAAGTAGCCTATTAATTTTCCATAGACCCACTATTTTTATTTTATTTTATTTTTTTTTTGTAGTTAAGGACTTTAGTCTATAGGCTATTCTTAAAAAAAGAATATCATTATTAATAAAAAAATATATATTTTTTATTAAATTAAAACACACTTAACTGTGTGTTTTTATTTTATTAAGTTAAAACACACAATGCGGAGCTTCAACAAAGGCAATGACATTAGCCTATAGCCTATATAGATCAATGGTTGCATGCAGTGAGTGTGTGTATTTTGTTCTGACTAATCTGGATCGGAAATAACAAGCCCCTAGTTTCACAAACGAGGCTTAAATAGCTATAAAAATGAAATAAAAACTGTAATTAATTAGGCTACTCACCCGTTTCAAATATAACTTTCATTCATTTTTGGAACCCAAATGAAGATCTTTTTGATTAAATCTGAGAGATTTCTGTACCTCCAATTTATCGATTTTAAAAGCATGTCTAAATGTCTAAATTGTTTTTGGCTGTGCTCTGTGTCTTTTACACATTGGTACAGTAGAGGGCGTTGCTTGTACACAATGTAGTTCACCGCGCGCACACCCACATTTCTGAACAGTCACTAACAAAAAGCCTGTATCAAATCCTTGAGTTTTTGTCCTAGCATTCATGACTACATTTACATTGTTTTTATTGGATAAACAGACTACATAAGCAAATAAACACTAACACTGAGTCACATAAACGTGACTGTGAGCTTGAGATCCTTGGCCTATTTTAGTTTTACCAAATAGCCTACACGATAGCCTACATCATGCAAATATTGTTGAATGTCATAATATTTCTATTTGTATTTTATTTTCAGTTTTTTTACGGTAAGGACTATAATTTAGGCACTCATCCAGCTCCAGCCCATTATATATATATATATATATATATATTAGCATTTCTTTTTTTATCTAAATCTTAGAATCAAGAGCTGAATTATTGCAAAATATTAACTTTCTATTAAAAAAAATACTTTGCAAATAATGCATTCAGAAAGAAAGGTTTTTACTGTGGCTTTCTGATAACACTATTAAAAGATTTGAATGGTCTGAGAAGTTTTACAATAAGATAGCTTCATTTGACCTTTTTTTTGTAATGTATCTTTGATTTGCTAATTTTTTTGTGAATAAGGGATTTCTTGAACATGCTATTTTTTCATAATGTTCCTCAAGTCAATTGAGTGTTATCCACATAATTTATCCTCTCTGAGTCAGCTAATGACTAGTAAAATAACCAATCTTGGCTTCTCCGTGTTCAAAGAGGGTTTAACACCAGTAAGTTCCAGGCAGGGGAACAATAATCACATTTTAACTCGCCTTCACACCCAGAGTGCTTACAAAAACTCCAACTGTTATAGCCTTTTCAGCTGTGCACACTCTGCAATCAATTGCCAGAGGCAAAATTAATAGATGTTAATGGCCATTTGTATTTGAGGCAAAGGGGACAAAATTGGCCAGAGAAAGCTATTAATTATATGCAGAGGGACTGAGAAGGGAGGCACAAGAGGGCTGGAGACGGGCTGCTTTGGGGCTCAATGGGGTCTGTGCCCTGTGAGGTTCACATGGGTTTCCGCTGGGTGGATTGTGAAAGGCATGAGCAGGGGGGCTTTTGTGTGGCTCCTGAGCCACGATTGTTCCTTCTCAAAAGGGTGACATCTGTCCAGGGTTTCCGAGACTCTGATCCACCCATTAGCCTCCATCCTCTCTCAACAACTTATTGCGTTTGTAACTGACAAATGAGACAAGGAGAGGCACTCGAGACATGTCAAGCCGAGAGATCAATGCCCCGTTCCCTTGATCTGTGTCTGCTTTATTAAGACACCTTCATAAACTTCTTAACTAAGCTCAGATTCCTGAGTTCCCTTGTTATGATGGTGAGTTATATCCATAAAATATAAAAATAAGTGTTAGATGTGTTAACCATATTGATTATTTCACCAATGTTATTTATGCTCACCTATAGGCTAATGACCCATAAATCAAACAAATATAAGATAAATAATATATAATTTTCTCTCTATAATTTTCTTCACTTGTAAGGTAGGCTAAATACATTCTTATAAAAGACAATCATGATTTATAGCTAAAACAACAAATTAAAAAAAAATGCTGCAAATGACAAATGATAAAAGCAAGTGGATGCATGTGGTGTGATTTTAATGATATTTAATATTGTCATTATTTGAATATTGTATTGATATTAGCCTACAATTATTATTTTACTTGCTACATCGAATTTTTACATTTGTAGGCTTTAATTCTTACTGGTTGTACGCTACACATTAAAAAATAGGCTTTTTTTGGTCAAATAATTTTTTTTGTAGCCTACAGTTTTTCTTTTGTCAAATCAACTTATCAACTTAATATTTTGAGTTTCTGTTGATTAAAACGATCTCTATTGTATTTTCTAAATTTTATCAAGCAACCAAGTTAGGCTGCTAGGCTACTTTTTAAAAGTTAAACCAACAATATTGTTTTACAGTGTGGGCTACCGATAGACGATTAGGCTACACACGATAAATTGCTAATGGATCATAAAATACATGTAGCCTAGGAAGGAAACACTTTCAGAATTTAAAAAATAATCTTAAAAAAATAAATAGCCTAAATGAGAAAGGCCTGAGAAGTGAAAAATTATTAACGGAAATAAATAGGCTGTTTCTGGGGTGTAAGAAGACAATAAAGTAATAGACAAATAAAAACCTTGAATATCGTGACCAATTATCGAGACTATGTTAGCCAAGCAAAACAAAATCTATAAATCCCTTACACCTGTTTCCGCCTATTTCGCAAAAAGTAAATAAATAAATAAATAAATAAGATAAAAATGATTTAAAAACTTCAATCACAAAATTAAACACACTGTAGCATCCTGCTGATCACTAAGCCACCAAAAAGATTCAGTTTTGAAGCTTTAAAACATTTTAAATGTATCTAGGTATATAACCCTT